TGCATCCGTTTCATGCTTTCTTTTCAGCCACTTCACTTTCCAACAGCATGTAGGGAAAACATAGTATCTTTAACCACATCATGAGATGTCCCTCACTAAATGGACCTTGGTAAACTATAAAAAGTAGGTAGAATTGTAGCTGGCCATCTTTATGCATGGTGTCCTGCTCTGATGATGTTCTTAACATGACACGTAATTTCAGCAAAGATTAATCAGGGTCGCAGGATGGTGGGCCGAGGAGCTATTCGCACAAATATACAATCATAGTCCAAGACAATCCCCCTCTAGCTTCCGTTGAGGCCAACTTACGAACCCCTTCCATATGTCTCTTCAAACCAAATTAAAGGAACTCCAACATGAATTTATTTAGCGACTTTTGGAAAACCAGTTTTTCTACATATCTTCATATCGTCTTCTCGCTTTTTTAAATTTATAATCATATTCAAAGGTCAAGAAATTGGTGGCCGAGCAAGCTGACCGCATTCATTTTTTTAAACTTTGATCCTCTATTTTATATTATTAGTAGGCCATATCCACCATAATAGTGATTTTGTCGTCGTATGCTTTATTCTGGTTGATGTTATATTTATGTAAAACATTGCAAAAATGAATTAAAATAAAAAATTTTGAAACTGAACCTTAATTAAAACTATAAAAACATCTTCCTCACACCTCACATGACTTGAATTTTGCATATATACAATACACAATAACGCATACTTAGATACGCGTCAAAATTACAGTATTATAAGTTGATTTATTTATATAATAAATTCACTTTATTTTCATTCATCATTTTTATCCATCTGCAAGCATGCAGATTAAGCATGAAGTAATTTACCAAATCATAGGATGTCTCATTAGGTATGAGAAGTAAGTTTGCAGCCAGCTATCTTTTCCCTTAGTTTAGTATATTTTTGCGGTATTTCGTAGGCTCTAGCTTTTCGATCATGTCCATCACATGACAGACGAAAGTTCAGCACGGATTATTCGGAGTTCCAGGACGGTGAATCGAGGACTTCTTCGCATAATCCAAGAATCTTTACTCTAAGGCAATTCTTTGATTCAGGTTTGGCTAGTTCACGAATCACTTCTAACAAGCTTTTCCTTCGAAATGACAAGTCGAGTTACATTTAGTCATTTAGACTCTTCGATCTCAAGCTTTTCTTTGTAAATTTTTTTTTCCAGCAAATATCTTTAGCTGAGTTCACTGCATATGTTGAACGAATTTCTTCTTGGAATCCACACGAATCATCTTCATTCAATTCGAATTTCGTTGCTTGTTGCGAGCGCGCTATTTTCTGTCTATCTGAAATTATGGTAATGCACGCTTTCTACCCTAAAATGTAAACTCTTTGAAAGTGCTCTACTTTTATCCTTTTTAGGACCTCTCCAATCATAAAGACGTTGTAAAGCTTGCTTTAAATATGCAAATGCATAATGTTGATATGCAAACGAAATTATTTTCTCTTTTGGCTGATAAGGTCAGTCCCTATTTTAGACATTAATCCTCACATGTTGCCTTTGGTAGTCCTTCAATGTTATTTTATGGTTTTATCATTCCCATCATAATTATGTGCATGGATGCAAATGTTATTCGTTGAATTTTGGTTAATTAACAATTTACTTGGTTGATTTATTAAATAATCTTAAACTTTAGCTTCCTACATCTCCGAGTGGTGATCTTTTGGAGAAGGTAAATATTTCATTATCTCACTATCCTTATATCATATAGACACTTATGATGCAAAAGAGGCTCAAGGCTTTTCTTCTTCTAAATGGCTCCAATCCGAAGTGAGATCATGCTTTTGGAATTATTTTCTATTCCTTGATTATTTCTTGTCTTGATTTTATTTTACACTTTTTGTGGATAAATACTCATACTTTTTTATCAAATTTCCTTTTTTTATACCTTTTAGTGCATGGAGCTCGTGGCCTAGCTTTTCAATGGCTAACCTCCAGCATGAGTTTATGCAGCGGCTATTTTCCGACAACAAAGGAAGCGTCGATTTTGTCTCTGATCCCTGTGACGCCTTTTTACTGTGGCATATGTTCAAAGTTAGTTTCGCATGCATTCCTTAAGCAGGCTGTTGAAGAACTTAGGTGCTCAAAATCTATTTCATCGGTTGCCTTTCAGCTAGTTCAAAACAGTAGCTGAGTATCTTTAAAATAGAAATGTAAAATGCGTCTTAACTTGCTGCATAAAGGTTGACATCCCCATAACCTTTTCAAAATTCATGCCATTATTCATATTATCCTTACGCAGACAACTTTGAGCTTTGCTTTACTCCATTTTTGATTATGGTCCCTTTATTAAGGTTAAATTCCTAGTCCAGTGTTACGCGATATACATTTTCCATGATTCATTTTATTTTACTCCTTCATCAACATTATCAAATCTCCTTGTACAACTTCCCACTCATTTCCTTATTCGCTTAAGGCTGATCTTGAGCGATGTATCACACCTTCTACGATCAGCCGACTTACAAGCTTACTATCACGCCGGCCGCTCACCCTTAGAATTTGCATACCGTTCAATCAGCCGGCTTCAGGGGCACTTCCCGGTTCTGGGACTGGCATTGGCTTCTGTCTTCTTTCGGATTTAGATCGTCACGAAGCCGATCGTATGGTGGCCAGCGAGGCTGCGCTGCACCGATGGCTTAGAGGCGACCTACTACCAGGCTTATTACGTCAGGCTCCAGAAGCCTTGGTAACTGTTTTTCATTTAGCTGTATACTTTTAGTTTGGCTTCGTTTTCTAAACTTGATCGAATGAAAAAAGGAGATCTTGTGGAACGTGCCCAGTCTTGCATAGTTATTCATTGTATTTATAGTATTTTTCAGGATCTAATAGACGGCACGATGCTGGAAATAATCAGGAATATCATGGCAGACGGCATAGGATTGAGTACATTTCACATGGTCTTCATTTTACACCGACTAAGCGGAGAAAGAGAGAGCATACCCACGCTTTGATTAGTATTGTCTCGATCATAGATATGAAGACCAAGGTGGTGTGGCCTACTTGGTCGCTATCTCCTTTAGCTTTATAGTGTTGGTTCTAACTTGTTTTCTCAACTTTTTCGGAGCGTCAGGGTTACCTTGTGGAACTTG